CACATGAAACAGTATAAAACAAAAACACAGAAAAACAATCCACAATTTTTTAATTCTCAAAGTGATCCATACACTAATTCGAAATTTGAATAAATCTGCATCTTATATTAAAAAATATTATCAAACATGTCATCAGAGCTTGAATTATTGAGACAGCGAGTTACTAAACTCGAGGCTGAAAATACTAGATTAAAACAAATCATAGAAGAAATTGCTAATCTTAGGATTGAAAATATAAGACTAAAACAAATCATAAAGCAAAATCAAACTACTAATAGTGTTTCGCAGTTCTCGGTTTCTCCAACTTTATCAGTGACTCCACAAAAGCCTATTAATGATCACTTTGGTGAGAATTATATCACCAATTCAGTAAACCTTGAGAAGACACAAAGTCTATTTCTCCCGAAATTAATTCTAAAAATATCTCTGAACAAACAGTTGATATAACTAATAATGCATTAAATTCTAATGTACATCAGGAATCTTGCACTCTGCATCACACACCTATGCAAAGTCTAAACCATTAGAGGATAAGGAGACAGATGATTCCTGGATTTGGTAAATAAAGAAAAGATTAGTAATGAGATAAAACAGAGGAACAGGGATAAGAAGCAAAATCTATCTTCAGTTAACCAATGTGAAGCATGTCATCAGAGTAACAATTATTCAACATCCATTAATTTATTGTGCGATGCAAAAACCATAAGTAGTCATCATAATCAGGAATCAGAATGTTTACACCTCTCCAAGCTCCGGAAAAAATATGAATTATAGCCACTCTGTGACTGCCTTTGGTGATAACCTACTAGATGACAAAAAACAAGATACTCAGGTTACAGCACAAAGTATAGTTCGCATGTTTCAAAAAGCAATTCAATCTGGCTGTGAAGAAATTTTGCATTGGTATCACTATACAGAAAGATATGATAAAAGAGTTAATGAGGTTTTTTCTAATGGCAAAGTTAAGATTAAAACAGCAAAAAGTATGGTATACAAAGAAGTTAAACAGCTACTTCCTGATATTACAGATACAAATCTACACCAGAAAACTCTTAGAGCTAGAAAAATCTATAATCTTTTCAATGCTATAGGAATAGAAAAAATTGAGCATGTCACATACAGTGCATATGCTATTTCAAACCATACTAATGCTCAAATTCAGAATATTATAAATCATGTACTCTCAAAAACCGTGAAATAAATTCATGATCAGAATAATTCTGAAGTGAATCAACCACAACCCCTATCCCTTTGTCTTATATTTCTAATTCTTCGGGTCCAGATGATTTGCCCAAGTTGAGGTAAGTACATTACCTGTATCTCAAGTCTCAGATACGAAAGTCAATGATAATATACCACCTATCCCAAAACCTATTAACAAGAAGACCTCACTGGTAACTCAGCAAAGTACACTATCTATATCCAACCCACCTCATGATCATACTTATTTCTATAATAAAACACTAGAACAATATCCTAATTTATATCGAGAATTTAGTAGTGAAAATGCCGATTATTATGGAATTACTGATGAGACATTA